TTTGGAAGGTACAAGTACAAGGCTCGAGTAGTTTTTGGTCAATTGAAAGCAAAAGTTTGTCTTGAGGCAATTGTAAAATTGGAGCAAGCTCACTTACAGAAGTACACGAGGACAAATCAATAAGGTTAAGGATCGGCTACATTAGAGTCAAAGGCATGTAACAAGTTCTACTCAAGTCAGCAAGAAATGGTCACTTCGAAATCGCTTGGATGATTTGTTAAACAAACAAGAGGTCTATTAGGCACAATGTTCAAAAAGCAACAATGGGTGCAACTTGGGGATAGAAACAAGTTTTTCTGCAGGATGACATCTTGGAGAAGACACAAATAGGATCATTTTTCTTCAAAATAGGGATGGGTTAGTGATCAAGGATCCTGAAACAATCCAACAAACTTTTATGGAGCATTTCAAGAAATTATTCTAGGAGGGATCTACTCAACGTATGGCTGACCAACATAATGATCCAAGTGCATTCCCAAACCATTTTAATTTACTTTCCATTTTTAAATGCAAATTTAATTTTGAACAACTTGCTATCCTAGAACAATCTTTTCAAGCTAATGACATGGGGCCAAGGTTTTAAAAGCAGCCGCAACCGTTACGTAATGCCGTTACATAACTGTTGTGGTGGTTACCGTCACCCGTTACGGCCGCTTTTGCAGTGTGATTAAGATTCACAGGTGTGTCGGCCGTAGCAGCTGTCGTAACGGTATCATGCACCGTTACGTAACGGTTCCGAACTGCTTCTTTCAAAAAAACACACACAAAAAAAGCTTAAAATGGAGGAAGAGGGATAGACAGAAGAGAGAAGATAAAGAGGGAAAATGGAGGAGTAAGAGATAGAGAGAGAAGAGGGAAGATGAAGAATATGTTATTGATTTGTTGAAACTATAAGACCTATACTACTCTATTCAATTGTTATCACTCAACTATTTTGTTTGTGTGTGTCTATCTATATATTGTTTGAAAATAATAATAATAATAATAATAATAATTATCTATTTGGTTTAAAATATATATATATATATATATATTAAAGGAGTTTGACTAATTGATTGTTTTTAAAAATGTAAAAAAAAAAAAATATACCTTTTTATATATTAACTAGATTGATATTAAATTTGAGAAATATTTAACAAAAATAGAACAGAAACCATATTTTAGTTATGGTAGTCATTAATTATTAAAATAAAATGTAAAAAACTCAGTTTATAGTGATTTAAAAATATGAAATATATTGGATCATACTTAAAAATTTATAAAAATTGATTAATATTTATTTTAAACCCAATAAATATGATCATGGAAAAAAAATATGCGTATTGGTAAATTTTTTTTAAATTGTGCGAAAAATAAAAAAATTCACGGTTCCGGTTACCACAACCGTTACGCTACGGCCTTTACACCTCGCAACCGCAACTGTGCCACCACCACTGCTACGGCGACAGCGACCGCAACCGCAACTGCAACCGCTTTTCAGAACCTTGCGTGGGGCAAATTGTTTTCCAATTAGGAAAGTTTAAAACTCCAGGAATAGATGGTTTTATTGTTGGCTTATATTAGACTTACTGGAAAATAGTAGGACCCTTGATAACAGAATCAATTCTGACTTTCCTCCAGTCTGGCTTTTTGTCGAAACAATTTAATAAGACCTTCATTTGTTTAATCTCCAAAGTTCACAATCCTCTCACTGTCAACAACTACCGCCCAATTAGTTTTGTAATGTAATCGATAAAATTGGATCCAAGGTGCTAGCCAATAGACTTAAAATAGCGTTACCTGGATTAATTTCACTACACCAGAATGCTTTTGTCATGGGGTGTCTCCTAGCGGACAATATTTTGCTAGCTCATGAGATTCTAGAATTTATTAAGAAAAAAAAAAAGAAGAAAAAAGGTAAGCAATCTTGCTTTGGTCTAAAGCTTGACATTAATAAAGCCTATGATTGGGTCAATTGGTCATTCTTGAAGGAGATAATCTGAGGCATAGGTTTCAACAAAAAATGGATCCAGTTGCTAACATAGTGCTTCTCTCCAGTATCGTTCTTTATTAATGGACAACAATCACAGTACTTCAAACCCACCACTGGCCTTCAGCAAGGAGACCCCCCTTTATCCATACCTTTTTCTTTTGGTCATGCAAGGCTTATCGGAAGGGTTTCATCATTTGAACTCACGAGGACTTTGTCAAGGTATTGTTGTTAGTCGTCACTCCCCTTTATTTTGCATTTACTTTTTGCTGATAACTGTTTTATATTCATGAATTTTAAAGCTAAAGTGTGGCGCTTGTCATGGTTCTTGAATGCTTTCCGTGCCCATTTTGGATTGAGAATCAATATCCGAAAATCAGAATACTCCCTTAGTCCCAATACCTTGCCTCAACATAAGGACTTACTATTTCGAATCTTCCAAATCAAAGTAGCCAATTTATCTGGGAGTGTACATGGATCACTCATGTAGGAAGAAAATTGAGTAATTTAAATCATTGGTGGACTGAATGCAACATAAGTTACAAGGGTGGAAGTGCCAACTTCTTGGTTTTGCTGGGAGGTGTACCCTTGTTAAGCATGTCCTTCAATCCATCCCTATATACACTTTCTCCTTTTTAAGGATGCCTGGGCTATTTCTGAATCAGATTACAGCCATTACAAGAAAATTCATTTGGCACTCCGCAAAGGAAAAGGGCATATGTTGGAAGAAGTGGCAGAACCTTTGTGTGCTGAAAGGGTGGGGAGTGATTTGGGCTGCTTTAATCAAGCATTGTTAGCCAAACAAACCTAGCATTTCGAAGGTGTTATTGGGAAAATATTGTCATTCCCAAACAATTCTAATTGTTAAGGTGATAAAGACTGCCTCAATGGGATGGAAAAGTATCTTATGGGGGAGAAACCTAATTAGAGAGGGAGTGCAATGGGTCATGGGAGATGGGAAATCCATAAACCCCTTAGAAGATCAATGAATCCCAACAATTTTAAACCCTATAAAAGGAAGGGGTTTGTCTAGTTATTTTTCTTCTCTCTTGTTATCGCATTTTATTGATGACACAAATCATTGCTGGAGGTTAAATTTATTGAGAGTATCTTTTCCCAATGAGTTCTAGAGATCCACTTGCCGGCTCACTCATGCTCAAATAAATTAGTTTGGGGAGCAAGCAAAGATGGGAATTACATAGTCAAAACATGCTATCTTTTTGTGATGGGGAGGAAACACCAAGGAACTTGCTCCCAGCAGAACGACCAATCGCACTGGGAATGGCTTTGGCAGTTAAAGATTCCCCGAAAATGGACCCTATTCCTTTGGAAGTAGTTCCTTCACTGTATTCTGTCAGTCAAATGGGTGATAATGAAGCGTGGAATTAATCTTGACCCTACATGTCCAAGATGTTCAAATGGCATAGAAACTATTGAGCATCTTTTTTTTGAATGCCCAGTCGCAAAGAGGAACCTCACTGAGCCTGGATTTCTCTAGAGGCGAACCTATGAACTTCAACAAATAGTTCTGGAGATGGATGGAGCCAGTAAAAGAGAAGGAGATTGTTCTACAATCAGTCACCATCCTTTGGGCCATTTGGCAACAACAGAATAGCTTTGTATTCAGCACCACACTCTTGTCCATCCCGCAAACCATTGCTTTGGCAAAAGAAGTGCAGAAAAGTGTTGTTGGGCACAAGTTGTATTTATCATCTAATGAAAATATTGTATTTGATAATTTAGATCAAGAAAAAAATAAGTGTATGATTGTAAATTCTCTCCATGACTTCTTAGATTTTTAGGTTTGGACCATTGTGGTTGGTGGTTCATGGAGAGCTGAAGGGTGCAGAGAGGGTATTACTTGGGTGTGCGACAATAAATTACAGGCGAAAGTGGCAGAGAGGGCAAGACAAAAGCATTTTTCCTCACCATTGCTGGAAGAAGCATCTGCATGCTGGTATGCTATAACAATGAGCAACACATAACAAGCTACAGTGCATCTCTTTTTTTCCTGATTGCGGAATTTTGATTGATCTTCTCATCAGCAAATGAACTCCAGACTGGAATGTTGCATCAGCTAACAAAGATATTGCTCATTCAGCTACGTATTTGGATTTCTTATGTATTTCTAAAGTATCTAGAAATGTTGTAAAACCAGCATATGAGCTGGCAAAACTTGCTAACAATTTTATTAATTAATGGTATGTGCTTTCTGTTCCTCAATAAAATAAAGTAAAATAATTATCCCTAAAAAAAACCTTATGTATTCTACTTCTTTTGCTTTTTTTTATCAATTTACATGTGGCCACCAAATAATCAACAAAACTACCCTCTACAATTGTACCAAACAAGATGGAAAATCACTATTACCAAAACCCCTAAATATTCTACCCCATTTCCTTCTAATCATAATCGAATACCCACAATTTTTTTTTGGTTTTTAGAATGGGTATCTTCTTCAACTATCATGGTCAAGCATACTCAATCACAATCACATTGCATTACATGTTTAAACCTCATTTATTTGGAAGATCATGACAGGATTCGAAAATTTATCAACTAACAAGTCCAACCCAGAAAGCTTCTAGTTCTAATTGATGCTTTTACTATCAATGAGTGATGACAATCAAAATATTTGTTTCAGATCCTAAACCCAAAATTATTTAAGAGCAATAGTACTAGTCTAGGCATGATGAGCTGAACCACACTATTTGCATGCCAAAACAGGCCCAAAACCAGAGAGCAATAAAAGTAACGTACATGCATGTAGCCCTGGTCATTTTCCATTTTTAAGTATTTACTCATTTCTAATCCTATTAAATGCCAACTAGAATTCTAATTCCCTCAATACAAGTCTCATCTTTGATTGCAACTTGTGTTTGGTTGGGCTGTACCTGCAACAAACACAAGAACTAAACCCTGCTAGTCAGTAAGCTTTGGCATTTTAAGTTTAGGGTTAACCTGGGTTGAGACATAATCATTTCGACCCAACTTGAACACCACCTGTTGCATACTTATAACATCACAGGTATATTAAAAGGAGAACACTTTGAAATCCGAATTTATTGCAGATAGTTAAATATTAGGATACATACTAGCAAACTACATTGACCTCTGTAAAAGATGAAAACAAATGTGTCAACGTGGCCCAAAACTTGAAAGAGAATTTAAACTTACATTCTCAAGGCACTTCACAGACCAACGAGAGCTGAACCAAAAATTTCCTCAACCCAAGACCAGGAATCTGGTGGACATATCAGTAGTGAGATTGGATACCCCCACATCCAATCAAATTTCCATTTTAGTACCCTGCAAATATAAAGGAGATCTCTTTCTAATAGGGTTGGCTTCATGCAAGACATTGCTTCGGACCAACAAGTCACAACAGGTGCAAATTCAACTCTGCAGGTTCCATCCTTTGCTACTGAAACATGGAAAATGACAGCTCAGCTGGAAAGTCCTAAGATAAATTAAATATTTGCACCGGCCAACTACGCTTTCGGGCATCAGGCCCAATCCCTGCAATCTCCAAGGAGATGTCGACACTGCGATGCTGAGAAGCACGAACAATGCTGATGCGTGCCTGCATTTTCATAGCAGGGCACGCCTCAGTACCAACTTCTGCCAATCTGTCAGCATCAGGCTTTCCCAAAGAAATTGCAATTGGTTCCCTGAAGGTGAGAATTGTTTGTAACCAATGCGTTTGGGGAGCATACGGGGATGTGGACAAAACAATTGATTTTTCCTTGCAAAACCTCCCAGTAAAGCCAGTCTCAAACCACAAGACAACTCCATAACACCAAGTTGTTTTACATATTAAATCTGTGGAATAGTTTGTCGGATTATCTAACTGTGGTTCCAACTCGATCCTTGAAGTGAAATCCATTTCATCAGGCGTCATCTTCAGTAAATCAAATGACTGATAGAAGGCATAAAATAGATTTTTTTTTTAAAAAAAAGAAGAAGAAAAAGCAAAAAAGAAGACATTATGCAAATGATGCCCAAAATGAAAAAATCAAATATTGAGCTTAGATAAAGCAATAACCTCTCCTGAAGGATCTTGAACCATATGTTCATGGGAAGATAAATCAGAAGTATTATTCAAATACCATTAGCTTTCACTAGTACCTTAAGCAATGACTATTGTATTTTCTGTGCATCATGAGGGATTAGTAAGTCATTCCTGACTAGCCCATTTTCTAAATCGCATTAAATCATCCTGGATAAATGTATAGAATTTTCCTCAAGAACCCTTCCCTTCCATTTTCATTCAAAAGAGACCAATTTGTCATAGTTCTGACAACCTTAGGCAAAGAAAAATTATATTCAAGACCACAGCAAAAAAACACATGGGCAGGTTTTATCAATTACAAAGCCAGAAAAGTGTAGTAAACCCAAGGCCAAAACATAAAGACATCTTTTTACAGAGAATGGAATTTCAGTTTAGTAGTCAAGGCAACATTTTTCTACAGGGCCTTCTATGACAGAATTTCTTAAAGAAGCTGGCTGTTTTCATTTATTATCTCTTGTGCTCAATATGACTTAGCTAACCTACGTAAGCCCCCCTTATGTGGTTTTGAAATTCACCTGATGATGTTAACACTTAACACTAATAGAGATCCAAGAATATCCTGAATGAGTAAAGGATGCCAAATCCAAATGGATGAAATTTCTAGCTAAATAAAACAGCAAAGAACACGAAAACAATTTTCAGCACAATGGGTTAACTTAATGGACGATTAAAACTACTTTAAAATACTTATGTACATCAAATAAATATTGAGTGACGTTGCGCAAATTTTGAAAATTTGGATGAAGTCTCATCAAATAATATTTAAAATATTCGTCTTGAACAGAATTTGACACCTCAAATGTAGAAAATGAAAGGCATGGGATACCATATTGTGAAACAAAACTAGGTCCCCAATCATCACTTATTGGCTCCTTGTTATCATAGCCTCCAAAGAAATCACCGGAAGTGGCTTAAAGATTGGTGAGTAACAAGCCAAGTATACTAATTGATGTCAATAGGACCATGACCCACTTCCGATCTGCAGATCAAAAACCATAGTTCACAGGAGTTGGGAGTGGGAGCTGTTTTCTAAAATATGAGAGTGCAGATCCTAGAAGATAAAATATATTCTTAAAAATTCCCATTACAAATCCTTCAAATTATAACACATTCGGAAACACGAGACCTATGCTGCTATTCATTAACTATCGAACACTAACAATCTGGAAGCAACTTGAAAAGAAATAGAACTTTTCTACACCACAGGCAACAAGAGTACAACCCAGAATCAGCATAAATTGTAGAAGCTACAAATAAATTAGATTAATGTAAAGCTTAGTTGGCCACCATGATTCTCCGAATGGCTTAGTCCCAAGGGGGAGGTCAACAGTTCAACTCTCCCCAGGAAGAAGTTGAATTAAGGCGGCAAGCACTTGGTGCTTTGCAAGGGTGGGGAGGTTAACTCCCATAAGTGCTAATCTACCAACTAACAACTGACTTTCACCGATCAAAAAAAAAAAAAAAAAAAAAAAAACAAAACATAAAGCTTCCTTGGGGAAAGTTATCACCTCTGTTTTGTGTCTTTCCTCATTTCCCATTTAATGTTTTATTTTTATTGACAACATATTACTTTCTTTTGTGGAGTTAAAAATAAAAATAAAAATATATTTAATAAATTATTTAGAAATTTTCTTAGGCATGCATCATGGGTTCTGGATAAATTTAGGATTTTATAAAAGATTTGCCATGCCTTGTGTAGTAAAAGACATGGCTACATATATTGAGCACTATAGATCCTCCAAATTGGCAACAAAGTTTATCTATCTGTGGCATTATCACAACGAAAGAGGAACCAAATAATTAAAGAGCCGATCTGATATTCCTCGAAAATAAAAGATGACATTGACAACTAACCTGGAGAACCACAGTATTTGTTACTATGTCACAACCATCAACAACATCAACTATAGGAACCTGAGCAGCATCTTCAACAAGTTCCTTGCCAATGCAAGACATATTGAAACCATACACATTTTCCCAAAATGGAATACTTGTACCACCTCTTCCAAATCCAGCAACAAACTAAAAAGGAAATTCCAGAATGTGATATCAATAGCTCCAGCAGAGAAACCATATCAAATAAGACAAGAATGAAAAGCTTTAGAGAACTCACCATAGTAGCTGTGTCCGGGAGAATGGCACCACCAGGCTTCAACCATCGATCCCGTGCAAAGAGCACAGAGCTAAGCATTGACTCATAAAGTAGGCAATAACCCATCCATTCACTCAGTAATACATCAATACTGTGGGGTTGAATATGTGTGGAATTATCAAGCTCTTCAACCATACCCTGGACTACTCTTATTACCCCATTACTGATTCCTTCATTTGAGCTTCCACTCCACAAAAGGCCATTATCTTTCGCAATCTTCACTTATCCAAACCAAAATGGTTTCTTTTTTAGTTTTAAAAATAAGGCATAAATATCACAAAAGTGAAGGGGCCAGAAAACAAGTAAAGGAAATAAAGATTTGAATTAAACAGCTATAAAATTGGGAATGTAAATACCTGAGTTGCCACCGCAGCCATCTTGTCACTGGCTTCAACTGCAATTACACTTGAAGCTCCTGCTTGGGCAGCAAAGAGACTAGTACAAACAGGAATAAGAATAAGAAATAGTACATACATATTGTAAAGAATCAACATTCAGAACAGACAAATCAATTTTAATAAACTAACAGACAGATCATTCAGTTTGAACAATGAATGATGTTTACCTATTTGAAAAAGAAAAAAAAAAAAAAAAAAAAAAACTTCTCTGCATTAGGTATTTTCTTTCATCATTGTTTTTTTTTGTCCCCCCTCATTTTTCAAGAGTCAGTCCTGAGTTATTATGATCCATGTTATGTTGATCCTTCAACTAGAACTAGTCTAGTCAAAGTTCCACACAATTTCGATGGTACATCAACTCCTAGTGAATTTTTTGATTGGTTAGCAGATCCTGATCTCCTTGCATTCTCTCCTTTAAAAAAAAAAAAAAAACTTCTCTGCATTAGGTATTTTCTTTCATCATTGTTTTTTTTTTGTCCCCCCTCATTTTTCAAGATTCAGTCCTGAGTTATTATGATCCATGTTATGTTGATCCTTCAACTAGAACTAGTCAAGTCAAAGTTCCACACAATTTCGATGGTACATCAACTCCTAGTGAATTTTTTGATTGGTTAGCAGATCCTGAGGATTGTTTTGATTGTCACAGTTCTCCAGACTTGCTTTGCATAAAATTTGTCATAATGAAATTAAGAGGTTCTGCTAATCAATTTTGGCAAGAAATTAAGAGTTGACAGTGTTTAGATAGGCCACATATCACTTTATGGGATGAAATGAGACAATATTAAAGAGAAAATATGTGCCTTGTTCCTACAAAAATTAAATTTATAGCCAATGGCGTGCTCTTAGGCAACAAACATCCAGTGTCTCTGATTATTTTGAACAATACAACTTTTTTAGGGAAATATGGGACATTAATACTAAATCAGAAATTATTGTATAAATTGTAGGAACAATTTCTAATTAGGTTGAAACATAAAATTTGAGGTGAAATGGTTTGCCTCATATAGCAAGGATGCCTACTCATATAGCACTTTAGAGGATGCTTATGAAGATGCTTTAGAGATTGAACATTATCTAACTAGAAAGACTCGCCAATATAAGCCAGTTCACCAATTTTCCCAAAGGCCTAAGCTATTAGGAAATAGGCCCAACAATGTATATCAAGCTATCTAACACCCTTCCTCACGTGCAACCCCGTCTTGCATGTGGAGAGACAAATAGAGAACCAAATAGAAGGAGAAGTAGACAACCAAACAGCGAAGAAAAATTCAAACGGGGACCGAATATCAAATGTCAATAGAGAGACTTGAATTCAAGAATCCTTTCAACCAGAACTCTGATACCATATTAAGTTACAAATTTTCCCAAAAGCCTAAGCTATTAGGAAATGGGCCCAACAATGTATATCAAGGTATCTAACAGATACCTAGTAAGGTCACACACTCAACTGTTGTCTAACATTCCCATAATCTTGTTAGTGATACAGCCAACCCAGTGGTTTTATTAGGAAAAGACTATTGATTAGGTTCGCAATAGTCATCCCTCTCATTTGACTCACATCACTTACGAATTTCAAGATCACTTGAATGCTATTCATGTCGTGTCTGCACGTTTTTCTCATCCCAAGGTGACCAAAAATTTAGAGCTTAAGATTGAACTATCACTTGAGAAACAACCTACTGAAAAGGTTACTGTGCATGATGTTGATCTAGTCATTGACTCTACAAATGAAGATGCTACTTGTGAGCCTATCATATCTTCCATTGCTCCTAAGTTAGTTGCTTCTAACTTTTTGCATGATATCGAGAGTTCACTTAAGATCATTCATGATCATTCACATCATGAGTTTATCATCAATAATCATATTTCTTTGCCCTCTACTAATAGTTCTCTTGAGGATGTTCTAGATTATTGTAAGCATCATGGCATTACCCACACCCCTTTGCATCAAATTTCATATTCTTCCAAATATTTCACTTTGACATCTCATGGATATGTCTCAGCCATTATTGAATATGGACCAATTTTTCTCTGAATATTGACACTGGTTCAATTTTCAAAGTAAAGGATATTAGGGGTGCACAAGAATCCAACACACCCATTCTACCCATCCAACCTACTTGACATGAACTGCACAGGCATAGCTTCAAAAGTAGGCTTACCCGTTTTCGGTTCACTACTATCTTAATGTTTGCCATTGATTGCATTTATTGATCCCTTGAATTATTGAAACCCTCCTTATCGGTGGTATTTCATTTACTAAGAAAAAAATCCAAAAGGCACACCCATCTATCTCTCTCTCTCTCTCTCTGTCTCTCTCTATCTCTCTCATTGCATTGATCTCCTAGAAAGTTGAAAGCTATCTGTATCTCATTTATTTTGAGAAACTTGAAAGCCACGATTCTCTCCCTTCATCATTTACAATTTCCCTATTGATTGCATTTAACCCTACCTATCTATATCTCATTTACTTCAAGAAAAAATCCAAAAGGCACCTTTCTCTCTCCATCATTTACGATTTCATTGTGGAAATCCTAAACTTAGGCTAAATCTTCATTCCTCGCAACGGCCATTGCGAACGGAGAAGACGCCAATGAAGAAGATCAACAAAGAAAGATGATACCCAATCTTCAGGCCTTCATGACACCATATATTCAGAGCTTCAACGTTGCTGCCTCTTAGCCATTGCTGTTGCTTCACCAAAGCCCTCTAAAAAAACAATCCTCTACTGCGCCTGCTGCCAAGCTAGAGATCAAATCTCCTTGCCTCTCATCCTTCTGCTTCACTTCTATTTCTCACCACACCCTTTGATATAATTTTTGGGTTTTAGACATTATATTCAAGTTTGAAGGGTACTTTTTTTTTTTTGTTCTGAAAAGATGTTTAGGATTGAAAGATTATTTTTTGGTTTTTGAAAGATGATTTTGTTCTTGAATGATGCTGAAGGAATTGGGAAAAAAGATGGTGGTTTCAACCACCGACCAAAAAAAGTTCAACCTGATTGTTCAATTTTGAACGAGTGGTCAATCGACATCAGTTGCCTTCTTCTTCAACCCAAGATGATCGAATTGAGTAACGGGTATACAACAAACCCGATCGGACTCGACCAGTGAACACCCCTTAGAGGATATGTTACTTGATTGAGGCACCTCAAAGCCTCATGTTTTGTTTGATAGTGTTTTTGTAAGAGTTCCTACGTGTCCACCGCCAGCTCATACGCTTATTCAACTCAATCACTTTGCTTGGTTCCTGTTTTCAAAAAACACTTTTCAAAAAATTCTACTTTCTTGTTTTCCGTATTTTTTTGTTTTTACTGAATTTTTTTAGAATTATTGAAACCCTCCTTATCGGTGGTATTTCATTTACTAAGAAAAAAATCCAAAAGGCACACCCATCTCTCTCTTTCTCTCTCTCTCTCTCTCTCTCTCTCTCTCTCTCATTGCATTGATCTCCTAGAAAGTTGAAAGCTATCTGTATCTCATTTATTTTGAGAAACTTGAAAGCCACGATTCTCTCCCTTCATCATTTACAATTTCCCTATTGATTGCATTTAACCCTACCTATCTATATCTCATTTACTTCAAGAAAAAATCCAAAAGGCACCTTTCTCTCTCCATCATTTACGATTTCATTGTGGAAATCCTAAACTTAGGCTAAATCTTCATTCCTCGCAACGGCCATTGAGAACGGAGAAGACGCCAATGAAGAAGATCAACAAAGAAAGATGATACCCAATCTTTAGGCCTTCATGACACCATATTTTCAGAGCTTCAACGTTGCTGCCTCTTAGCCATTGCTGTTGCTTCGCCAAAGCCCTCTAAAAAAACAATCGTCTACTGCGCCTACTGCCAAGCTAGAGATCAAATCTCCTTGCCTCTCATCCTTCTGCTTCACTTCTATTTCTCACCACCCCCTTTGATATAATTTTTGGGTTTTAGACATTATATTCAAGATTGAAGGGCACTTCTTTTTTTTTTTGTTCTGAAAAGATGTTTAGGATTGAAAGATTATTTTTTGGTTTTTGAAAGATGATTTTGTTCTTGAATGATGATGCTGAAGGAATTAGGAAAAAAGATGGTGGTTTCAACCACTGACCAAAAAAAGTTCAACCTGATTGTTCAATTTTGAACGAGTGGTCAATCGACATTAGTTGCCTTCTTCTTCAACCCAAGATGATCGAATTGAGTAACAGGTATACAACAAACCCGATTGGACTCGATCAGTGAACACCCCTTAGAGGATATGTTACTTGATTGAGGCACCTCAAAGCCTCTTGTTTTGTTTGATAGTGTTTTTGTAAGAGCTCCTACGTGTCCACCGCCAGCTCATACGCTTGTTCAACTCAATAATTTTGTGGATATTAAATTATTGGTGTTTTCCTTGAGAGTCAACATTAATTTCCAACATGGAGCTGCTCGAGATCATCTTGTAGAGGAAGTATCCCATCAATCACACATAATATTGGATGAAGAACAATTTCGCCAGCACAAGCTTTCAACTCATGAAGTACTTTTATAATCACAACTCTCCAGAAGAGAGTTTCTTTCAGCCGAGGAGAAATTATGGGAATCCGAAAGGCACTGGACAACAATATTTACTTCTTTAATTTGGCATTGTTTTATATTTATTGGATTTTATTACTTTATTCGGTTTTATTGTTTATTTAGAATTATTATAATGTTTTATTTTTGGTAACTTCAATTTAATAAGGATTTCCTATGTTGTTTACATATATGGCCTTATGTAATAGTTTTAGGAACCATACCTTCTTCTTTTTTATTAGCAACATAAGTAAATTTTATTAAGTAAAAAGAAAAACAGGACAAAGGAGGCCAGAGCGTACTCAGAGATCGAACATTTAAAAAAAAAAAAAAAAAAAGGAAGAAGAAAAAAAAAAAAAAAAAAAAAGAAGAAGAAGAAGAAGAAAAAAAAACTAAGTAAAAATCACACAAAAAATAAAACAAAGATAAGAAATTACGTGTGACAAATAGCTATCCAAACTATAGAGATCAAGAAAAGCAAAATCTCTTTAAACAGTAGAGTTGGGTATAAGATTAGTGAATATGATATTGATTATTGAGATTGAGGTATCCTTTTGGGATTGTATTTCATGTTTCTAATTGTTTTTCTTTTGTGGTTTGGCCCGAGCACATTACCCCGTGTCATTTAAAAATAGCCAAACACCCCTCATAAGATTTTGAGGGTTTTGCACTTTAACTCCCTCCTATTTGTTAAAAATTCCATCCAAATTGACAGAACGAGTGTTATTTGCACCTATTTTAAGAGTGGACATGAAAAACTATAAAAATTCATTATCAAATTTTAAGTTAAAAGACATAGCCATAACTTCTTCTTTCTAACCTACTAAAAGCCCTAACTTTACACCACCAGCCACCTTTCCCATCACCCTCACCACCCCCTTCGTCCTCCCCCACCATCTCTGCCACCCCTTCCCCTTTTCGACCCCTCCACCCTTACCACCCCTCTTTATTCCCACCGCTTCCAACCCCTCATGCCACCTCTTTTCCCCTCCTCAGCACTAGCAATCAACCTTTCTTCCCTCCCCCACAGCACGTCAACACCCATTTCCTTTGCCCTGCCCCTACCACTGCCACTGCCACTGCCACCCTCTTCCTCCTCCATTCCCACCACCCTCCAACCTCCCCAACCATGCACCACCCCCTTTCCCTCCCCAAACCCTACACCCCTGCTGTGCCACCCCCTTCCTTATCCCTTGTCATTGCACAACCCCTCAAGTTATGCCTTCAAATTTGTGTTTTTGATAAAGTGATTCGAGTTCATGGGCATATATGTCTCACAATGGAATGTGTTGGTCGTGGCACTAATGTAGGACCAACAACTAATTGGAAATCTATTCCACCATAATATAAAAGGTGGCATATATATATATATATATATATGCATGTTGATTCATTTTTCACAAGGATTAGGTAGTTTTATATGAATATGCAAGGGTTTCTAGAGGAACTAGTTAGTGTTGGCCATGGGAATGAGTTTGGTGGTAAAAGCAGTGGTGGAGGATCACCCGAAAAAAATGGAGTTTGTGGCGGATATAAACATATTTTATAGGTCAAGTTAACCGAGTTAGGGTTGCATTTTAATCCAAAATATTTGGCTATTTTTAAAAGTTGAAGGGGTAAAGTGCTTCGGGACCATACAACAAGGAGGTAAAACAAATTTTCCCAATAAAATATGGAGGAGGTAGCAACCCCCAACACAGCAGGCATCAACATCATCACCAATCACGAGTTGCTCCACACGACAATTCAAACAAATAATTAAACTAATTCAATATATAGCACTTCTAACCTTAGTATACCAGTCCCACATCCCACATCCAGAACAGCAGCATCACTCAGAAGAGAAGGATTATTCATGATGGCATGTCTATAAGCATCGGTTCTTACCTACATAACCAGATTCAAATGATTCGGTGAATGCTAAACACTGGGAGCAAAGTTGCATTTTTCCAAACCATCTTTCATCAATTTACATAACTAAAAATCCATTCCTACGGTAAATGTAAGATTCAATTTGATACCTTATCACTTAGCATCTCCCTATGGATCCCAAATGAACTGTACGACCCAAAATAATTCTTATCCACCTTCTTGATTTCATTTGCCACAACCTTTGCAAAACAAACTCTCAAATTCTTATCTTTTGACTTTCTATCAGAAGAACAATCAGATTCTTCTATGTCAACACCATTGACTTTCACCTCCTGAGAAGGATTTGTCATGTTTAAACAACTATTGGAAGTAGAGGCAATCTCCTTTTCTCCATTCTCAAAAGAAGTGTTAAATTCATATAGATGTCCTCCTAGCGCATCATCATCATCAATATAAATCCTTTCAAAATTAATCTGATCCTTGATATTTTCAACGGATGCAGTATCCTCGTCTTCAACTTCACAATCTTCACCGAAGCTGTATAAAAGTGGATCCTCTTGCATGAAGGGTTTTAGATATTTTTCCTCACCCCAAGGAAGCACAACTTCTTTGAAACTAAATGTTTCATGTAAATGATTCTGTAAATCTTGCTTTGACTGACAGGTAAGCCCACAACTCCAACATCTGTTTTCTGCTACCTGGTAGAAATAGAGACATTAAGCAAAGGTCAAGCCATTATCTTTAATGACCTGTAATTTTCTTGCACACCTGCATACTAAACTTACTTTTTCCTAGTTAAGAACTACTAATGCATCTTGACATGACAATAATATTCAATAAAGACTCTTAATATGCTTTATTCTCGTCACTAGATTCACAAGTACAAGAAAATACAAAACCAGCTGCAGGAAGTGACAACAATTGTCTTTCCAAGTATCAGCCACAGCCACTGCCACTGTTACTAAGTAAAGTATAATAATAAATTCAATAAAGGGATAATGAATAGGATCAGGTTATCATCGAACTGCATAGCTATCAGTGAGGCTTAGATAGTCACAAAGTGAAAGTGTGCTGTGGGGGGCTTGAATAGGGCACCTAACTTTTTGCTTTACCATCACGCATTGTTTGGACCTCTTCTTTGCTTAAGTCAATCTTTCCATATTCTTGATCAATCACTAACCATTTCTAAATCAAACCTAGTTGCATATGATTTAGTTAATTGCTTAAATTTTCTTCTCTCCTAGTTTCAAGATCATGTGATTGAATTGTCAAATTATTCCTTACAATTTCTAGGTCACGATCACAGGATTTATCACTACTTTAGCGGCCTGGCCAGTTACTCAAGACCAATAAACCACAGCCAAACCAATAATCAGCAGATTAAGTACCCATTTCAGAAAGTCAGAGAAACAAATGGGCACAAACTCCATTTGGTTGATGCGAAAATCGAATGAATATTTAAAAACATAAATTTAAAATATAAATAAATAAAAATACCCTGAACTCAGTCAATCTAGAATTTCCACTCTTTTCATGAAGAAGTTTTTTTTTTTTTTTTTTGTTTACCTGAGACCTGACGTAATTGATGAGCTTGAAGGAACCATAGAAATCCAAGCGCAGGGTTTTGCGAATAGCATGAAAATCGAAGTGGTGGGTACATGTACAGTGCTGGAAGAGTGCGTCGATCGAACTGTAGTTGGAATCGCAGAACAAACAGAGTAAATCCGAGTATAAATCATCTTCTGCTTCTTCTTCGTCGTTTGCGTTCCAATCTCCCCACTCTTGTTCTTCTTCTTCCTCTTCTTCTACTTCGCTCTCTACCTCTGCATCGTTCACTTCTTTGTTCCCTGTGAGGTTCGTCGCCATTGATGTCATATGATATGGAGAGGCCACCAGACAGAAACGGTTCAGGCTAAACCCTCTCTACAATTTAAGCATCACGCAAAACCCTAAACCCTATTCGCTCATTTTAAAGCACTAGTATTGTTACTGAATTCGAATTAATTTGAATTAAAATTAGATACCAATATATTTTTTTTTTTATTAAAGTTGGAAATTTTGAATTTCTTTCATTTTTGTTTGTCATTTGAATTTGAATTAAAATTAGATAGAAATACATGTTCTTCATTGAAGTTAGAGATAATTGCATTAAAAAAAAAAATTCATTTTTTTGGTCAAAATCATTTTATGAAATCGAACTTAAAAACTCATTCACCTTAACATTTAAGTAATCTCTCCAAAACTACTTGAGCGATTGCTTGAGGTCTTCCTCCACTTTATCTTACAATATAAATGAGAAGGTTGAGAATATAATCATAGTGGTTGCTCAATTCTCCATCATATTTTACTTTTATGTATGTACCTATTGATATTTTGGTTTTATTTTTGAAATGTGGTTTGTAAAAGTTATGTACATAATTTCTACAATTCTATCAGAAATTTGCCCTATTCACGTGAATTGAGTACTTTGTGTGGATCCCGAAATTACTCGAAGTGTACGTAAATTGACCCAAATACCGGGCATAAAAAAAATTGTAAAATCTTTTTACTTACTTTTCGTACTCTCCTCACATGTTTGACATTTTTTTATTATTTGTTTATAAGGCTATGGCGGTTTTATGTCCTTCCAATAATATATAATTAGTAGCAACTATTGTTGGACAATTTTCAAAGTATTCGAAGAATTAAAGAAATGAGAGAAACTGTTTGATTACAAAAATCAAAACAGTATAAAATAAATAAAATAAAACAACAGATTCTTACTTTGTTATAAAAACAAAATTAGAATCTGATAAAAACAAATAAAGCATAAAGTAAATTAAATATTTACCTTATTAATCTGTCGAACAAATTTTTGATCAAGCCCAGTGTTTAACACTGTGTCCTTAAGATAAATTCGTCCTCTCAACAGTGCTTTTAGATTGTGGATGTCTATATCCAAGGATAAAATGATCAACAATGAATAGTAGCAGCACTACAAATTATTCACACAACGAACACACTTTGTGTTTACACTACAATCCTTCTCACAGGAAAATAATGTAGCAAAATGCAGAGAGCAATAGTGTGGACTTGTCTTTTTCGCGCCCCCTTTTGGAAGGTTTGAAAAGAAAGGTCTCACAGTTCGGACTTCCACGATTCTGAATCTAATCTCATAAGTGCAATGTGAAACTGATAAACACCAAAGAGTCCAAATCCGGCAAATCTTTTTAGAAAATCGATTTTAAATCAAATAATACCAAAATTAGACTGCTTTGCCAGATACAGAGTCGCCACCTCAATATTTTATTTTTGGAAAAATTTAGGAAACCCTGACTCCTGCCAAAGGCCACGTGTCCGTCATCACCAAAGTTGCCTCAGCTTGGGAACTTGGGTACGAGGAGGGAAGGTCATGAATTGAGTACCCCCGCTCCCTCAATCAAAGATCAGTCACTACTAACCATGATATGATATTTTATAAACATTACGTGTTCTTGTTCCGGTTATTAAGCTAGGTTTATTATGTGATGCGCACAAACAATTATAGACTAGTTTGCTCAATTTGGAAAATTCAACTCATGTTTGTTTGAAAATGGTTTGAATTTGCCACCTCAAGTGGGCTTAAAGATGCGGACTTGCCACCAAACATAGTGGGCTTAAAACATGATTTGCCACTCAACAAAGTGGGCTTAAAACATACATTCGTTGAATTGTTCTAATTTAAACAACAAGCCTTCATCTACAGGCATTCATGCAGTTTAGCATTTAAGCACATAGCCTCATGGCAAGCATGCGAAACATGACAATATGGCAATCACACTTATGCAAGTATGCTAAAGCGTAAAGACTCACCGAGTACTCCAAGCCAAAACAGAACTTAGTTAGAAAAATGCATGATCCTAACTATACAAGATGTCTAATACAACGCATGCAAAGAATGCAATTTAATAGGTTTGGCTACTAATATGGCATATGAATTTATTTGAACAACATGCGATTAAACACGTATTCAAAAAAGATATTGAAATGATAATGCAGTTTGAATGATACGCCGAGCCTCGGTGCATGCAAGACAAGATGAATGGATGCAAGCATGCGATATACTAACTTGTAACATGACCCTAATCTAACCATCAAAAGCGATTAAATAAAAGGGAGAAAGACGTGGGGTTGGAAAACATACACACACGCACGCACACTTATTACAACATTATGTCCACGCGAAGGAGGGTCCGAATGAATAAGAGCTAACTAGCTACGCTAATTAAGCTAACTAATTATTACAAACCAAATTAATTAACTACTTCTAGCTAATTAATTATTACAAACCGAAATTGAATAACTAGTTAAACTAACTAATTATTGAAAACATTTAATTAGTTACAACTAATTATTACAATACACACTTGATCTAACGCTAATTAAACTAACTAGCTAATCCCAGGAAATGAGGAATGCATACATGCTAGATCCTTCACCTGAAAAAGCTACTGCTTTGCTGTTGCGAGCCTCTGTTTGCACATATGATCATTGAAAATTGTGCCAACTTCCGAAACACCTCTGCTCCACCTCAGGAACACATTGTACAAAAAAAATCACTGATGGCTGGCAAGGGGGACAAGGGGCCGGTCGGCTACCAATGGTGGCCGGTTGGCTACCATTGGTGGCTGATCGGCCACTACTGGTTCACACTTGCATGCTGCAACAGAGAGTAAAACAGAGCAAAACAGTGTATTCTCACAGGTTGTCTGTACTGTTTACTCTCCTTATCATCACACAAGCTCAAAGGAGAGAAACTCTTGGTCCTCAAACTATCAATCAAGCAAATTTCACGCCTTGATGGCTAAGGGACCAAGTTTGTACAAGTTCAATAGATGCACAAACAAGACCAAAATGAGCACCACCTTATCATGCATGATCAAGGGCAATGGTGACCAAGGAAAATGACACATTTCATCACTTTGAGTATGAAATGTCCCATTTTCCTTGTGTTCGAATTAACGTCCGATTCGAACACATGCAATGCAACACGAAAGATGCTTATCTTGCACACTTTTACTTGTCAAATTTTGTTTAGTCATTTTAGTTACCAAACCATTCTTTAGTCAATTTGTCCATTGGTGAGTGTCTTCTAAAGTGAAAGAAGTGTCAACCAAGGGGTAGTTGAAGGCATGATGGAAGCTTTATGCCGTTGGTAATGAACTCTCAAAGGAGGATTAAACCATTAAGCATGAGCCTCAACATTGAGCTTAAACAACCTTAAGGTTGAAACAACCCTCAAAACAAATGAAAAAATGAAGAAATTAGGGGGTTGCAAAGATTGTATGTGCTGAAAATGAGTAATAAAAGCACTAAAAATATATGCAACCAACTCACACCAATGATGGTTAAAGCATTAAAACACTAAACTAGTGAAGGAATTAACATTGTAACTATGCCAAACAAGACTCAAACAAGCTAACCAGCCCAAAACAGAGCTAAAATAGGTTATTTTAGAAGCAAAAACATGTTGGAATTAAGCTACGTTAAGCTAGAAAAATATGATAGCATGTGAAGCTAACTAGGCATACAAACAAGACATGAGGAAGGGAGGTTAACCTCTCCAATTTTGGACTTCAAAATAATTTTTTGGCCATTGAAAAATCTCTGAAATTCAGTGGTTAAAAGGCCCAAAAAGGTTGATTTGAATGTGATGAATATAGGCACAAAAGCTTAGCAAACTAGTAAGCAAGACAAGTATCTTGAAACAAAGCAAACAAGACAAGCTTTATACCTTTGAAGCAAAACTCAACTTTAGGCACCAAACCAAGCTAAAACCTCTTACTAGAGCTCAAAGACGGTCCCGAAGAATCTCAGCTCAAAGGTAAGGAGATTTGGTTTAGGAGGTATAGGCAAAAGCTAAGGATTTGTGAACAAATGCATGCAAAATTGCAAGAGAGAGAGAGAGAGAGAGAGAGAAATCTAGAGAGAGAGGGAGAATTTTGTTCCAAAATTGCTAACCTCTTAAAATGGGAGAAGAACCCCCATATTTATAGAAAAACACCCTCTAAGCTTGGAAACATCCCGCCATACATGTGTAGGGAGATACAACTTATTGTGCTAACAACTAGCACAGTTGTCAACAAATATTCAAAAAAAGGCATTGGTGGTCGTTGGCCACTACTGGTAGCCGACTGGCCACACTTCTGGCCGATAGCCATTATCCATGGCCGACAGCCTATGGTGGTGGCCGACAGGTCACCAAAAGGTTCCAGACTCAAAAACAACAAGGATTGGTCCAAAACCAAGCACAAAACAGATAAGGTTTCAAGGCTCAAAGGCAAGGCACTCCACTGAGAACTTCGAGCACTCAAAACGAACACATGCGATCATAATCATCGAGTACATAAGCGATAACGTCCGAGTCTTGATGACAGTAAAAAATGGGGTGTCTACAAATAGCAGATTTTTGGACGAAAATTTTGAGTACAAAACCAAATGGAGGACGTGTTTATTTATAGGTTCAATGGTGGTTTTTCAGTTTGAATTTAACAGGTAGTAAACCTGTTTGAACAAGACCTGTTCGATTTTGAATGAACAGACACAGGTTTGAATTTTGAACAGATAAAGAACTGTTTGGGTTTGAATTTGAACAAATTCAAATATGTTTGGACAGATATGGAACCTGTACTGAAATTCTGAAGAGGTGCAAACAAATTTGAATTTTTTCAACCAAAATTTGAAATTAAAACTGGACAGATTTTATTTTACCAAAAAATAAAATTAAATTCAAATGTTTTTGGCCAAAAAAGACAAGTATTGGACTGGACAAGCCCAACCCAACCTCACACCACGCACCCGCGCCCAAGCCTAGCCTAGCCCAACCTAGCCCGTTCACCTGACCGGATAGATGGTGGCGGCGGCGCGCTCGCGTGCTTATTTTGGGTTCAATGGATCTAACCCACTTTGCCCATAGCCTTTCCCTCTACAAAACTTGAGTGCCCCTTGGGGCCTACCCCA